CGACAAGCAGTACTGGCACTAGACGGGTAGGAGCAGCAGTAGTAGCAGTAGTAGTCGTCGTCGTCGTAGTAGTAGTTAGTAGCAGCAGCAGCAGCAGCAGCAGCAGGAGGAGGAGGAGGAGGAGTGGTGGTGGTAGTAGTAGTAGTAGCAGTAGTAGTAGTAGTAGTAGTAGTAGTAGTAGTGGTACTAGTAGTAGTAGTAGTAGTAGCAGAAGTAGTAGTAGGTATAGATATATAGATCGAAATCTAATACATATATATGTGTGTGTGTGTATATATATATATACATACACGCAAATATGTGTGTATACCTATTGTAGGTTATATATATATATACATATATATTCTACATAGTATACATATAGATACATATGCCCGCTTACGTACCATCTACAAACAACAACTCTCGTGTGTGTACCGATGTTTGCATCTATGTTCATATGCTCATGTTGCTTGTGCAACGTTTGGGCCGCATGGTTGGCGGGTTACACTTGGGGCTGGTCGGGCCGTTGTTTACTGCCTTGGTGACTTGTCAGGCCTGCGGTGAAACCCACAATAATGGCATCGATCAGCTGCTGGAACCAAGATCGCATCAAGCCAATCTGGACATACATGAAATCAGTTGCGCCTCAGTAGGGATGGACACTTCACTAGCCACACCTCCCGAAACCTCCAATTCGTTGCTATCTGCATAAGCACCGGTCTGTTCCCTCACCCGCTTGCCTGCCCTCAGCCCTGAAGAATCAAATCACATCGAAGTGGGGCTGTCCTTGTGTTCGGTCTAGCTGGCTGCGTTGCTGGCTGGAACAATTGGGAATTGGACTCTGGAACATTTTGGGGGGAGTCTGCTTGCTACGACAATCAACGCAGGGAGTGCATCATGGGATCAGCTCAACTCTTCTGGTAACGGGGCTAACAACCTGCAGGCGGGCAACTGTCCGGCAAATCTGCATTGGACAACTGAAAGTATGCCAGGTTGATACTTGCTATGAGCGCGATAGCCTTGTCCAGGGCAGTGTTCAATGCCATGTTCAGGAGCGCTTCGAGGTTGCGTAGGACCTGAATAGACTGCGCAAAGATGTAGGTGAAGGAAAGGAGCGATAAGAGGTTGGCAACAAGCAGTGCCGATGGAAAGAAGAAGGCATCCTCCGCGTTGAAAGGCTTGAGAAACGTCCTCCGCACTGACGATAGCCTGCTGTCGCCGGCGACATGCGGCACTTGCAGAAGGACTTGTAACACACGAAAAGAACAAAAGCTTGCTCAATTTTGATGACTGAGAGTCAATGACTGCTTAACTGTGTCACCGGACGGGACGTCTTTGAAGCCGAGAGCCTGACCCAGCCTTCTTCTAGTGTAGGCTTCGAAGATTTCCGAGCGCTGCGTGTCGAAAGTACGGGCCTGGCTGGAAACTTCTGTGGTCATGCCTGCGCCAAGACAAAGCGGCTCCACTCTGTCATCCACAAGATGTGTTCAAATTGCTGTAAAATGAAGTGATCCAAAAGCTTGAAGCACAAAACGACTTGACGTTCTAGAACCAGCAACCCCCGCCCCTAGTCCGCGCGAGCTCTCAAACTGCATGACAGCCGAGATGCCCCAGACAAGGGTGGCAAGGATGAGCACGACGTCGATCACGGCAACATAGATCCAAGCTCCATACAACGCGTCCCTGTGCACTGACAGAAAAGGTGCTGCCACCAGCAGCCCTACAGTGCAGAGGAGTGCGAAAATGAACCAGGGCCATCGATGATGTGTGACGTTTGTGATGAGGATGATGACACCAACAATGGCCGCAACACCAGAGCAGAACCAATTGAAGGCCACGTCCACGGGATCAGGCGGTGTTCGCACCACTTTGAAGGCGAAGCCTTCTGAGCTCTCAACACCATTCACAGAAACTGTGAACTCGTACTCGACATCTTCGGCAAAGGCGAAGAGCGGCGGCTGATTGAAAACATACCCACAGGGAGCCTGCAAGTGAAGGTCATCGAGGGAGAACTCCCATGCTGCCGCTGCTTGCTTGCTGCTCGGGGAGGCGACGGAGCCGCCCGCAGACATCAGCACCTGTTGGAACCTGTGCTGTCTCCCTCCGACTCCCCCATCCTCAGCCCTGCTTGCCTACACATCTTACACCCGTCCCTACCGCAAAGAAGAGAAAAGCAGGGGAGGCGCTGGTCCAGTATCTGCGAGGGCTCCAGAGCAGACGGATCCATACCAAGGGCTTCGGACAAGCTCGGACTCTGCAAGACCGACAAGCCCGCTGCCGCCGCATCCTCAGTTCCGCTTCCGAGTAGAAACAAACGACATTGTCCGTCGATTAATACTCCTTCTTCTGGAAATGTTTTTTTGGCGAAGTGTTGGATGCCATTCGTGGAACCATCGCGGAACTTTCGTGCGGCATGTTTCTAGCAGCAGTACGAGTACTAGTCGTAGTAGTAGTATGACTAGCAGTAATGAAATCAAGATAGCAGCAGGAGGAGGAGGAGGAGGACTTGTCTGTAGTGGTAGTGGTAGTCGCAATGGTAGGGGGTAGTGGTGGCAGTAGTAGTAGTA